GGGGAGTGGGGGAGGGAGAAGCAGGCTTCCCGCCGAGCAGGGAGCCCAATGCGGGGCTCGATCCCAGGACCCTGGGATCATGAACTGAGCTGAAGGCAGATGCTTAACGACTGAGCCACCCAGGCGCCCCTCCCCTCATCTCTTTTAAGATACAATTCCAAGTCAGCTTCTCAGTGAAGCCATTACTCAACTCCTTTAGGTGGGGTATTGTTTCCAAGGTACATTGTTATTTACCTCTGTTACAGCAACTAATATATTGGATGCCATCAGTTTTTTTTTAAGATTTATTTATTTACTTGAGAGAGAGAGCGAGCAAGCATGAACAGGGGGAGGGGCGGAAGGAGAGAGAGAGAATCCTGAAGCAGACGCCTCACTGAGCACAGAGCCTGACATGCGGCTTAGTCCCAGAACCCTGAGATCATGACCTGAGCTGAAATCAAGAGCCAACTGCTTAACCAGCTGAGCCACCCAGACGCCCCACCATCAGCTTTTGGTAGTAGGATTGATGTGTTACGTAGCTTCTCACTTCCAGTGCTTAGTGGGTGCCTGGCAGAGAGGAGGCATATGATAAACTTGGGTGAGTAAACATGGTAACACTACCTTCTGAGAGAGTAATGATCATTCAATTCCATGTTAGTATCCTAAGGTGGAAAGATTTTGACTATTAATGCCAAGAATTGGTCACCATATTACCTCCTAGAAATGTCTTAAACCACACAGTAGACTCATCAACCTTTCTTGGTATGTCGTACTTGCAACACTGGATTTATCATTCATTTCTTATGCTAATAACCAGTTCTAGATATTTTCAGATATTTTTCATGTAAAGATCTTTGGTGTTGGGGCACTTGGGTGGCTCAGGCATTAAGCGTCCGCCTTCAGCTCGGGTCATGATCCCAGGGTCCTGGGATCGAGCCCTGCATCGGGCTCCCTGCTCCGTGGGAAGCCTGCTTCTCCCTCCCCCACTCCCCCTGCTAGTGTTCCCTCTCTGGCTGTCTCTCTCTCTCTGTCAAATAAATAAATAAAATCTTTTTTTTTTAAAAAATATCTTTGATGTGCTGTGAGGAGAAAAAAAGAATATTTCATTGTACTGGATTCTCCTTCTTAGAATTCAATCACGATGACAGTCTACTTCAATTTTTTCTGAATTTTACTACTTCAACAGTTGAATTGTGGAAATACTAGTGTAGATATTGATACTGATACAGTTCGGCGAGCAGGAGAGTAGAGAAAAATACAGACTACAATAGATTAGTGGGCTTCCTGACATTTCAGTCTTGCCTGGAGTATATTTGACTCTATTTCAATTGGCCTGGATGAATAAATCTTTTACAATAAACATCACAAAAGCAACCAATATTAGTAAGTAACTATTTTTTACAAAGTATTTTTACATGTTATATTGTTTAATACAATCCTCTTGAACATTTTCCATCCAGAGAAATATGTTTTGATCATTTATACCTGGAGCCCCCAACTTGTTATAAGAGATTGAAGAATGGATCATGAATCTTGACTCAGCTTTTGAAGGAGCCTAGATGCCTCTCTACCCTGGCCTGTAAAATTTGATAATAGTAACAACAATAATCACAAAATAGATGGAACAGCATCTACTCCTTTGTAGGTCCTGATATTGCTTTGATGATCTTCTCTTCTCTCTCTCTTCTCTGGCCACGTGGTTTGATGGGACTCCCAAACCCTAGTATTGAAGGTTGACCTACACTAAGCCAATCAGTGTGCCACATGCCATCCCTCAATCATGGTGATTGGTTCAGGGATGGATATGAGACCCAAACAGATCAATGAGACACCATCCTGGGAGGAGCTGCTGTCTCCATCTTACTTATCCCTATGGACAGAGAGTGGGGTCTGCTGGATACTATCATATGCAGCCTGAGCATGAAGCTAACACTTCCCATAGCAAGCTGAGTGATGGAGAGAAATCAAAGCCTGATGATTCCATTTGAGCCCTGCATACAGCCAGGTCTAGGCTACTTCTACTGATGGCTTTTCAATGATTTATTCCAGTAAAATTGTTTTTTCTTTAAATTGAATTTTCTGTCACTTGCAACCATAGAATTCTAACCGATACATTTCTGATTTGCCAGCACTAAGCTAAGCCCTTGTACATATATTAGCTCATTTAATCTTTAATGTTCTAATTGGTATTAGGGTTCACGAAGGTCTCAGTCACTGTACTGTTCCTGGACATGGCAGGAGAATGGCAATGTGTTCCTTCTCAGGGGTCCACATGTTGTCAAGACGCCATCCATTTCTCTCTCTCCCCGCCCCAGCACTCCTAACCTATTCGTTTTTCTCTCCTCCCCCTCTCCTTCATTCCCTTCCCAAAACTTGAGTTCAAGTCTCCAGGGAGATAAACATTAGCCCCTCAAACCAGCAAGCTCTGGCAGTCTGGACTTAGTCATCTCGCTGCCCAAGCCAGGGGGCTGATTGAGATGAACCCTGTGTAACCCTTCCGGCTGCTTTGCTCTGGGAGTCATGGCCCTTCTCTGGGTGCCAGAGTTTGCTTCTTCCTTTTCTGGCCCAGAGCCATCCTCAGAGGTTTCTTGGACAGCACCCAGGGCGACCCAGGCTGATAGGCACCCTGCCTAGATAAGGCATGTCACTGCCTGGGCATTTGTGTGCAGATGGCTCTGTTTGAAATCCTGCCTCTCTCTGACTTCACTTCCTGAATGTGCTGACAGGCCTCTGAGCCAAGTCAAACAGGTTCCCAATGCCGTGCCTGCAGAGCATTCCCCTGTGAGTGCAGCTGGGGAAACAAAACTTTTCTCCAGCCCATAGAGAGGACCTGCCAGCCCTTATATGACCAAGAAGCAGGCCCTGTGAGACCTTGTTGAATCTTAGTGGGAAATGTTTGCATTTCAGCGAGGGTGGTTTGTGTGTGCATGCATGCACACTGGCTTGGGGCATGGGGTGGGGGATTCCTGATTATTTCTTCTTAAATGAACAAGTCTACAGTGAAAAATGACTGATGACTAATTCTTGCTTATTTGCTCCATACAAGGGCTTTACATATATGATCCTCCTGAAAACCTTCCGAGGGAGCCATGGCTGGCCTCATTTTTACAAAGGAAGGGATTGAGGCTTAGCAAAATTAAGGTACTTGCCCCATGCTCCCCCAAGTACAACTGCAGAGCCCGGATTTAACCTCTAGACCCTTGGTTCCAAAATCCATGTGCCTCCTCTAACTTGTAATACCTTGATTCTTCATGGAGTCAGAAGCATAGGGAGGAAGAGTGGAAAGGGAGAGGCTCTGGTGTCTTCCCAGACCTGTGAAGTATAGAATGACAACAGGGTCTGTGGCAGGGAAGTTGTGAGGCTCAACGGAGATATAAATTCATGTGGCAGTACTACGCAGGAATAACGACATATGTGTACAGTGCAAGCTCTTTGGGGTCAGAAAGACCTGGACTCAACTTGGGCTTCTACCAGCCACTTATTCCATGAGCCCAAACAAGACCTGAACCTCCATTTTCTCATGTATAAAATACAGCCTTATCATCTACTTGTGAGACCCAGCACAGTGCCTGCTGCATAGTAGAAACTTGGTAAATGGGATCTATTATGAATATTATACAGGTGTTTTTATTATATGGTTGGTTTCTACTGGAGTTGGGAAAGGCTAGGTAATGCTACAGAAATAAGCAGCTCTTAAATCTCTGTGTCCTAAAACAATAAAGGTTAAATGTCTACTGTAGATATGCTGGGCCTGGGAAGGGACTCTGATCTACATCATCATTATTTAAAGACCCAGGCTAATGGACACTCTATCTCTGTGTTTCCATAGTTGCCAAAGCTGGGAAAAGGAAGTATGTTGAATCTCACTTGCTCTTAGGCTTCCACCTGGATGTGACAGATGTCACCCCTGCTCACATTTCATTGGCTGACACAAGTCCATGTCTTCTTACCCACCTTCAAGGAGGTAGGAGATGGGAAAGTACTGCCTTACCTCGTACCCAAAAGCAGAGCTGGAAATATTTGGCGTAGAGCATTAGTGAGCACCCACCAACCCAAAAGCCATCCTCCCTCTCACTTCTCTCTTGCTATCAGAGCCCTGATTTTTTACTTATTTTAAAAATAACTTTCTGTGTTCACTTTCCCATGTGCTTAGAAAAAGGTGATCCCAAAGGGCTAAGCATGACTGTCGGCCAATTATGGAGGTCTCATTCCCTGTTTTGGTATATGTATGGGACCAACTCCTGACCAACAGGACCTGAGGGGAAGTCAACCGGGGTGGAGGTGGGGAGCTTCTAGAAAAGGTTTCTCTTGCTAATAAAAAGAGAAAAATTAAAGTAAAAATCCTTGCATTGCATTTACCTATGATGCCAGGAACTGCCAAAGCTATCTTGAGGCCACACAAGGAAGTTCCTTGACATACTAAGAATGGTGACATGGAAAGATAGGAAGCCCCAGACCCATGGTGATGTCAATGAACGAGGTCACTGAGCCCTGGACTTGGTTCATGTCTGGACTTCTTTGAATTGTGTCTTCTGTTACTGGCCTCTGTAAGCATCCTAACTGTTAGTGTGGTCAATTATATAACAGCCCAGGTTCCTGCCCACCTTTTTCCAGGACTTGGGATAAGGCCAGGGAAAATTCCTCCCACTGAGCATGAACCTAGATGAATCAACACTCTGGAAGAGATTAGCTAGTAGCAGAAGCTGATGGACTGACAGTCCTGAGGAGATCTGGGAAATACACAAATTCTGTGCAGGTAGCCAGTGAGTAGCAGTAACCCAAGAAAGCAGTAATGTAGTGATCTGGGAATCCAATTTTCTGAAGCAACAAAGAGGCATCCACCAGGCACTATTTTTCAGTGGCTATACATGGGAGAAGTCTGTATGGCAAGAAAGTGTCAGGGCTTCTTGGTACTAAGTATTGTGGTCCGTCCGGAGAGGAGGAGTTTGCAGCAGGGCAAGGAAAGTCCACTACTCGCTGCTGGGGCAGGGATGACATATCCCAGGAGACTATCTAATTACCTTTGCTCAGATGGTGTGCACATCAAAGAACCTTCTGATGACTACTTCGGTTCTTGGGGTCCTTAATGTGGAATTGGGGACATGCCCTGGGTAAGGAACCCAGGATCACCAGGGCATCTGGTTCCTGGAACAACATAGGAGAAGAATTGGGTTCTCGAAGCCTAATTGTGGCCCCACCAGCCTGTGGATGAGGAACCTTGACAAAATTCTTAAGACTCACCGGGAGCATCAGTTGCTGTGTCTCTGAGACACAGCTAGTAACAATGACATAGCCAGGGGAGTGGTGCCAATGGAAGGAGACAGAAGAGAGAAGAGCGCTTTGGAAGTGGTGGGAGTGTGAACAGGTGAGGACAAATTGCATTGCTCATCATGCTTCCTTTGCTTACTCCACTCCAGGAAAGCAGGCCATCTCTCAAGCCCTAGGGTGCCCAGAACTCTCTCCCAAGCTTTCCCTCATGTGGCCCCTTCAGCTGCTGCCCCTTCTCTTCTGCTCTTCACCTGATAAAATCAAATCATGGAGGAAATCTCCTTTCAGGTGTTTTTTGCAGAAAGGCCTTTTTTCCCCCTTGGCCCTATTTAGATGGTTTTTCTCTTTCATAGTGCCCAGTTTTTCTTCACTGTCCTCGTGTAGGTGTAGAATCATACATTAATCAGTGTGTTTTCTATTTGCTGTGTCTCTTACCAGAATAAAAACTCCACGAGGGAGACATCCTGTGGATTTCACTCTCCATTGCCTTCTGAGTGCCTGGCACAAAATAGGAAATTCAATGTTGCTTGAGGAATCAAATGAGTGTCATATGGATGCGAGGTGTTATTATTCAATTCCCCCCCCAGCATAAGTAAAAACACTGGTCTCTTCACTTGCATCGAAAAGTTTGTATAGTTTGGGTCAGTTAGTCCCACTGAGCTTAGTCAATTCTGGGGAAATGACATAAAATCAGGTTTGGGTCCTGCAGTGGTGAGGTCACAAGCCTTTTTCTTTTACATCTGTTTATTTGAGCATCCTGACACTGAGCAGGTGGACTCTGGACCATAAGATGACTTTCCTTCAGATATCAAGTTGACACAGGAAAAGTTAAGTTCAGGACAAGCTGCCAAGGTGAAGCGTGAACTTGCTGATATCCCTCCTTAGGCCCAGCTTGCCAGGGAGTTGTGCAGGAAGAAATGTGGGAGATGGGGTTCAGCCTAAGCAATCTGCTCCCCATTTCTCCCCCAACTCCAGGACAGCTTTAAAGACCACAGGTGTTCTAAATTAAACCAAATCCTGCCTTTGGTATTACTCTTCTTACCTGGCATTGTCCCCACCAGTCCATCACCCAAACTGTTACCAGCACGAATCTCTCTCAAGTTTGGAGAGTCCATTTCCCTGCTCTGTGTCCTTCTACATTTCCCTATCACCTGCAGGATAACTACCAAACTCTTAGCATGGGACAGATACTACTTCACAACCTGACACCTAAACTTTCTTGCTTCATCTCCTTTCATTCCTCTTCTCATATCTTTGTTCCCAGCCTCTCCAAGCAGCTTACCAATCTCTGAATGCACTACATTCTCCTACACTGCTGTGCCCTTGCATAAAGTTCCTCTTTCAACTTTTCCTTCCTGGTGAGTCCCACCGGCTCAGCTCACATGTCACCTCTCCCATGAAGTCTCTCCTGATAATGGTCCCTCCTCCCCAGACCTGGCACCTCTTTGTGCTTTATCTCTATACTCCTCCCCACTAGACTGTGAGTTCCTTGAGAATAGGGATTGTGTCTTGCTCATCACTGAATCCCCATGCTTAGCATAGGGCCTCAGTGAGACCCAGGCCCATGGTCATGTCCTTCTCTGACATGTCAGAAGTCCAAAACCAAATAAATGGGGCCAGGTTCCAGAGTTAGGAAGGGATAATTTCATTTTCTGGGGCCATCCCATATTCTAACCTTTTCACATCTTCCATGACCTTCTACTTGACCCATATGGAAGACCCACGGAGGCAAGGGTAGGGCAGAGTAAAAGGCACTGTCTTTTTTGGTTAGTTCCACCAATGCATATCCTCTCTAACAATAAAAGGACACGGGGAATAGTTACTTTAGCATGATCCTTATCTCTATCCAGCAGATACTGAGCACTAACTTCTAGACCCCTGAGCTACATTAACTTTATAAACAGAAAGTCCTCTGTGTGATTACCAATGAAGTAGTTGTTTTTAATAAAGCCACATCTGGAGCTATTTTTTATGCTTGCCTAATGGTCACACATTATCCTTGCCCATCCCCACCTCCAAGCCTAATGTTTCAGGGAGACCCATTTTATATGAGGAGATGCCCACTTGCATTAGTAGAGTGGGGAAGGGACACTGTATGATTGGAAGAATGTGCTGACAGCTTAGTTATTTTAAGAACATTCATCGTGAAAATCGGGCTTTAGAACACTCATTGACAATTGGCTGGACTTGAATTTTCTTGAGGTTCCCAATCCATCCGGATTTGTATACCTGAAAATGGATGAGGCATATTTCACTAGAAAAATTAAGACCTGGAATTATTTTGGAGGAGGGTTCAAGTTCAATTGCTTGCTCAGTCATCACACATTTATTTTATAAACATCTCCTAGTGCCAGGCACTATACTAGGAGTCTGGGGTCCATAGATGGTTAGGATAGGGCTCCAGCCAAGAGTCACAGAGGTTCACAATGATAATACCTTGATAAGTGCTATCATAGAAGTTTTGATAAAATGTTATGAATGCTCAATGGGAATGTTCATTCCACCTGAAGATAGAGTTAGCGAGGAAGGCTTCATAGAGAAGGTGCTATGTATGTATGCGGAAGAATGGATAGGATTCATCCGCTGGACCAGAAGGAAAGGAATTCCAGGTAGATGGATGAGCACAGGCAGAGGCAAAGAAGGGTGAAAAGGCATGGGATTCAGATTCACACAATGGTAAATTTCTCATAATGAGTGTGTGCCCATTAAGTTTAGGAATTATTAAGCACTTGAGTCATGGAACTCTGTGAAAACCAAATAAAAGCTAATGATTTCTTTCCCCAGGGGAGCATGTATGTGCCCATATGTGCACGCACATACACATACATAAATAGGCTTTTTCATTGAGTTCATGAACCTTCTGCCCCAGTGGACACAAAGGGTTAAGATTCTATGTGTAAAATATACATATATAAGACAAATTAGAAGAGAACTAATGGTTTTATGTGCCACTAGCTTCATCTTCTCCAACTACTAGTGTTACCCAAGTAACTCATTGAATGACAAAATAAAATTAACTTGTGTCTACAAAATTAGCTGATTTTCTGTGTCCAAAGGTCATTGATTAATTGCCTCTATCACAATGATTTTTGTATCCCTTTGGTTAGAATGGTTAGAATTTCAGCGATATACATTTAGAATGTTAGTTGAAACAAACAAGTATGGGGATAGGCCCGAGTTTCAGGCTTTTTTTTTTTTTTTTTACTTACACTTGGAGTCTAAATAAAGCTGGGGAGTGGTGTGGCTTTTCTGTTGTCTGGGCTTAGTCTACCTTTGCAGGTAATTAATTCCCCAGCCTGCTTATTTTTTCTAGTTGGCTCTTGTTTAGCTTCCAAAGAGCCCCACCCCAAAGTGCTTTATTGTCCCTCTGCTGACTATTCCTACATATGGTCAAAATCAACTCACCTTCCGGGTTGCTGACATCGGCAAATTCACTGTTTGGCAAACTCTGCTCCGTTCCTAGTAACCCTTTGTTAAAGAAGTGTTATTACGACGGAGTGGATCTGATAGCTAACAAGTCTGTCCAATCTCTTGCACTCCTAGATACACTCATAAAGAGAAACTCTTTATGTCTTTGGATTTACAGTCACAGGCAGGATATTAGCACTCAAGACCTGTTGGGTACTAGAGCACTGTTAATGAGCAAACAGCCCTGCCTCAATTAGTGGTTTGTGAAAATATTCCTGGATATCAAATTGCTTTTGCTGCTTGATAAGCATACTGGCTCTTGGGATGAAAAGCAACCAAGCAAAAATTGTTCCCTTGTTGCATACAGCCTTGTTGATCTTCCAAGGTGTATCTGCAGACAGAATTTGTTTGCCATTTCCCCAGAGCTAAGGTTTGATTTACACATGTGATCAATGTGTTGGTGTTCATGGTTTCTCATCTCTCTTCCATGGCATATGGATTACCATCTTTTAAGGCTATTTCTGTAATAATAACTTAAACGAGGTTGATTATTTTAGAAACAAATTAAGAAATAAACTGTACAAGAATCCCAAATGGTAAACTGCTATTGTGGTAATTTGTCTAAGTATAGGTGTTTATTTCAGAGAGAGAGAGAGAGAGAGAGAGAGAGAGAGAGAGAGAGAGAGAGGAGAGGAGAGTATTAATGAAAACTGGGAGAATGTTTCATCCAGATTGCAAATTCTGTGTTGACTCTTCCTAAATTCTTTGCTTCTTAATTACCCAGTAACTTCAGATGGCAGTAATGCTAACCCCAGCAACTGAAAAGAAAAGCTTCAGTGTAGAGCTTGGGAAGAAAAAAAGTAGTAAAGGGAAAGGAATTCAAGATCTGTTATTGGTATTTGAATACGTTTATTGTGACAAGAATGCTGTTATAAATATTCATAAGCAAAGACCATCTTTTTTATCTAGGGATTGTTAAAGATTCCAAATTGGAAGGATACATCTTTTGTAAAAATCTGCCACCATTCCTGACTTGAGAATAAGCAACTACTCTTAAATTTCTGCTAACATCATAAATGGTCACAGCACATGCCACTTGGTATAATCCAGACTTTAAATATTAGTTTGACTTTTCAGGGCACTGTCTGTCCCTCTCCAGCACAACCTCCCTTCCCTCAGCCTTCTGAAGGGCCCCGCTATCCTTTGTAAGCAACTCTATATAGATTGTTGGGGGAGGGAAGAGGATTAAGTTGACAAGAGCATCAGCTACAGTTATTCTCAGTCCAGTAGAGAATAGTTTTGCTTGATAGTAAGAAGCACTGAGAGTGATTTTAAGTTGACTCTTCACTCTTTCAACTTCACCTAGATAGGTAATCCATAGATAATGCAGAAAAGAGGTTGTGGGAGGGGTATTTTTCCAATATTTTATTGTATTTTCTTAAATATCCTTTCTGGAATTTTCAGGAACAAAACATAAAAAAATTATATACTTTATTACAAATGGTAAACTCAGAGTGCTCCAAATCTCTTATTTACAAACAACACTGGGCAGGACACCCAAACAAACAAACATGAAATAACTTACAAAGGCATGAAGCTGTTTATTGACAGTAATCAGCTTTCATCAAATTAAAAAATATATATATGTACATACACAGTTAAGGAAGGCAGGCCAGAAAGAGTTCATCTGCAGGCTCAGCCTCGCTCTCACAAACCTCCCTCCCGCCTCCCCTCCCCCAACCCCCCCCTTTGTGTTTTAAGGAGTACTACAGAAGCAATCTACAGTCTCTATTGCAGTTTGTAACCCCTCCCCCTCCCCCCTTTAATACTGAATGAGATCGAATGTTAGGTCCATGCAGTTCTTGGTCAATGTTAAAGAAAAGTCTAACGTTCTGTTCGCGCGGGGACAGCCCGTCCGCAAAGCGGGGCAGCCCGCAGGCAGCCGCTCCCTGGCCCGATGCCAAGGGAGGGCGCGCCAAGTCCTTCCCACTCGTGCACACTGGGGGCGCCGTCAGGACGCCGCCCAGTCCAACTTGGATACCCTTGGCTTTAGTCCTTGGACACTTCTTTTCTCTCTCTCTCTCTCTCGCAACTTGTCAAGTTCTCAAGTCTGTCTCTCTGTGTAATTTTTTTTTTCTCTGCTGCCCCTCAGCCCCCGACAGTCTCTCCTCAAAACGTTTGCAACTGCTGCGTTAGCATGAGTTGGCACCCACTGTTAACGTGGTTCATGACTTTTTGTTTAAGCTGTGCCACCTGTTCCCTGAGCATGTTGGCCGTGGACGCCAGCTCCGAGTTCTGCGCTTTCAAGGTTTTCACTTTTTCCTCCAGCCGGGCGATCCTCTCCAGCTTCCTTTTCCGGCACTTGGAGGCAGCTATGCGGTTCCTCATGCGCTTCCTCTCGGCCTTGATCCTCTCCTGTGACTCCATGTCGATGGGGGACAGGGGCGGCGTTTCCCCGGGCATCTCGGGCACCGTCTGCGGCTCCTCCTTCAAGGCCTGCAGCCGCGGGTGCTGCACTGGGAGCTGCTGGGGCAGGTGGTGCGGCGGCTGCGGGGGCTGCTGCTGCGGCTGCTGGGGCTGCGCGGGAAAGGCCAGGCCGGCCGCGCCGTACGAGGGCGCCCCGCCGCCGCTGCTCAGCGCGCCCGGGTTGAAGTTGCTGAGGTTGGCGTAGACCGGCGGCTCGCTGTGCAGGCTGGCGCTGAAGCCGCCGCCGCCGCCGCCGCCCGCCGCCGAAGCCACGGCCGGAGCCACCATGCCCGCCCCGCTGACCGGCTGCGCCGCCGACGTGACGTTGGGCAGCGTGTTCTGGCTGTGCAGTTCGGCCAGGGCGCGCACGAAACCTTCTGCGAAGCCCTCCTGCTCGTCTGTCACGTTCTTGGGGCACAGGAACTGCGTCGGGGTCGGCGTGGTGGTGATGTGCCCGTTGCTGGACTGGATTATCAGGCGCTCCAGCTCGGGCGAGGCCAGCTTGAGCAGCCCCACATCGGGCGAGGTGAGGAGGTCCGAGTTCTTGGCCCGGAGGTGCGGCTTCAGGCTGCCCACCGGGTCGGCCAGGTTCAGGGTCATGCTCTGTTTCAGGATCTTGGGGTTACTGTAGCCGTAGGCGCCGCTCTCGGACTGGAGGAACGAGGCGTTGAGAGCATCGTCGTAGAAGGTCGTTTCCATCTTTGCAGTCATAGAACAGTCCGTCACTTCACGTGGGGTTAGTTTGGGCTGCGCGCAGAAGTTTCGGGGCCGCAACAGCGCGCTGGCGAGCGGGGGACACCCGCGCCTCCCGGGGCCCTGGGCAAGGAAAGTTTCTCGAGGGGCGCGCGCACCCGCCGGCTGTCCTCCCCCCTGCGCCCCGCTCACCAGCTCGCTCCCTGGGCGCTCAGGGTTTCAGGTGCCGCCCGCACTCTTACTTGTCAGCTCGCGCGCGCTGCCCGGCTTTGAAAAGTCGCGGTCACTCACGGAGCGCTCTCGGGCGCAGCGGTTCCTGGGAGCCCGCGGACGAAGACGCTTCCCGGCGACAGCGGCCCTCCCGGCGGCGGCAGTCAGCGCCGATCCCGCTGTGGCCGGCCGGCGGCGGGTCTCCGCCGCCCCGACTCCGACGACTGTCCCCTCCTCCGCTGCGAGGGGGAGGGGGCGCCGGGCAGCCGCGGCTCGCGCTCGCCCAAGTTCAGCAACCGGTGCGAGAGAAGCTGAGCGCACGTCCCTCCTCGGTCCCCTCTCTCCGCCGCCTTCTTGTCTTCGCCGCCGCCGCCACCACAGCTTCAGGCGCAGCAAAGCTTTGCAAAAGTTCGCTCCGGGACCCGGGCCACTTGTCCCCTGTCCTCCTGGCCAGGAAAGTTCTTAGCCGCTGCAGCCGCTCTCCGGACTTCCCCGGACGGACTGTCGCCGCCCTCCGCGCTGTCAGCAGCTCCCGGGCAGCGGGGCTCTCCTCCTGGGGGCGACTGGAGAAGGGGCTCTCCGGACGCTCCCCCAAACACCAGCCCGGGAGCCACAGGCGCTAGCTCTGGGCAGTTGGTGAGAAAATGAAAGAGAAAATAAGATTTGCAGCTCGGACTCCACTGCCGTGTCGCCTGCCTGTGTCTGTCTCCCTGAGTCCGCGCACCTCCACTCCTGCCTCGCTGCTTCAGCCACACTCAGTGCAACTCTGAGCCCTTATCCAGCCCGAGCTCAACACTTATCTGCTACCAGTCAACCCCTAAAAATAGCCCATGATGTCACCCCAAGGCCTTCCCATTGGCTCGCGTCGCTCTCAAGGGGGCGGGCCCGCCCGTCGCCATGGAGACCCCACCCTAGAAGATTCTTCTCTGGACCCGCGGAGGCTCACGGGATGAGGTAATGCTCCGCTGCCCTCCTACAGTTGGGCCCTTCTTTCTCCTCCTCTCCCCCTCCCCCTCCCGCGCGATTCGCGCCGGGCTCTTTCCCCTCCCCTCCCCGGCGCGTCTTTCCCGGCCCGCCCGGTGCATTGTGGGCTGACGTCTTGGGGTTTGACTGTCTAGTGACGGTGGCTACCGCGAGTCGGGCGAACGCGGGCTCTCGGAGCCTCTGACCCAGGCGGGCTTAAGTCCAGGGCTCGGGCGGGAATGCAGGGGATGCAGGCACCCGGAAGGCTCGGAAGCTGGGCCAGGTGTCTGGGGCCGAGAGCGCGGGGTGGGGGGTATTTCCCCACTTGGGGTGCTCGATGGCATCCACGGGCACTTCGCTGTCTTGCGGGGCCGGAGGCGGATCGCCCGGGTCTGTGCCCCCCCCCCGCACTTCCGGGGGCGGGAGCAGCGCCCTTAAGGTGGCTCTATTAAGTTCCCTGTGGGGGCGAGTGAAAGTGGGCTTAAGTTTAGGGGCGGTCTCGCGAGAGCGGGCCCCCCACGTTGAGGACGCTGCGAAGTTTGTCTCCTGGTCAAGTTCACGAGCGATCGTCCGCGCTGCTGTCCGGCTGCGCCTAAAAGCCAAGTGATTTGCATTGCTTGAAACTGGGTGCTTAGCTAAGTCGGCGTTGCACCCCCACTGCACCCTCCAGACCATGGGAAAAAGCGTGCGAGTGTTCACAGTTTTGCCTCGACGGGGAAGTTTTTCTATAGGGGGTAGAATTGGGCAACTCAGCTTCCAGTTGTGAATGAGCGTTTAGGGAATCCGAAACTTGGGGAACCCCGGTGATCGTCTGCTACCCGCCCCCGCACAACATGCAGCCTCACTTCACACACACACACACACACACACACACACACACACACACACACACCCCACACACCTCCCGTCCTGATTTGTTTACAGGAAAACAAGTCCGAGAGCGTCGGATACTCAAAAAAAGTCACGCAGCGAGTCAGGGGTAGGACCAGGATTTAAAAAGGTGGGCCCATATCCTGGGTAGCCTCTAGGAAGCGCTAGACACATGTAAGTGGTTCCTTTTCTGCGGTTGTTATTTTATCCTCCCCCTACCCCGCACCCCTTAGGGACAAAAGTTATGGCGGAAAGAATGCCGAAGTCGGGAATCGTGGGTTCTCTCGTGGCCAGCGCTGCCACGGTATGAAGTGAACAAAACACTGAACTTCTTTGAGTTCCTTCAGGTCTGCAAGTGGGGCCGGTGAGACCCTCCTCACTGGGTGGGCTGAGTTAGTGTAGCATCGTCGCCTCCAGGGCCAGGAGCTGGTCGCCTAACAGCCCCCTTCTCTACCCTCCCTCGGAGATTCCCAGAGCCTTGATGGAATGACAGGATAGGAGTGTGACTTGGCAGGACCAGGTGTCCTTACCCCTGTGGAGAGCAGTGAGGAGGGGAGGAAGGTGAGGGAGGAAAGGTCAGAAGTCAGCACTTTCCCTGTTGAGGACTGGGGTTTGAAAGGCGGACCTGCAGCAATTTGTGTTCTTAGATTCTAATTCTGGCTTTTCAGCTTCTGAACTTAGGGGAATTCAGCCTTGGGTTTATAGCCCAGAGCTTTAAGGTATTTGTGGCTTTGAGAGTTCAGATTCAATGGCCCAACGGCAGCTGGTGTCAGAAATTTTGACAACTTTTCTTCACCCCACGCCCTCATCTCTCTTTCCCTCCAGTAGCAGAGGAAAATTGAGTGGCTCCTGTGAGCCAGGCACTGAGCTGCGGTGGGGGGATACAGTGATGACAAGATCCAGTTACTTTCCTCTTGGAGGGAACATTCTCTATTTTGTTGCCCTGAATCATTTTCTTTTGTAATCAGTGAGCTGATGTTCTTAATCATTTTTTATGTTAATGGTAATAAAAATAAGTTTCATGTATTAAACACCTACCACCAGCCAGGCATTCATCTGAGCCATTTAAATATGCTGTTTCTCCCCACAACCATCTCGAGCTTCATGTATTATTATTTGGATTTAATATGTGAGGAACTAGGCTCAGAGAGGTTAAGAATCTTGCTCAGGTCACACAGACCGCTGGAAATTGACCTCAGGTCTTTGTTACGTTCCCTTGTATCTGCTCTGCTCTGGAATTTTTCATCTTGTAAACTATTAGGGGTCTGTTGGGGAATGGCACTTGGATGGTGGGATAGAACAAATTACCATGCCTGATCCTCTGGAACTCCTTTCAGAACATTCTTTCAGAGCTCCTGTATTTAGAAACTTCAAGACTTAAGGACTTTGTGTGTTTCTCTCTGCCTTACGTGGTTTAGTAGGCTTATTTTCTCCTTATGTTGAGAAATAGCATATTTTATCCAAAAAATAGCAGATCTGTTCATGTTAACACCCCTGCTTGGAAGCTTTCATGGCTTCCCCTTATGACCAGGAGAGAGTTCAGAAACCTTTGCCCGAGAGAGCCTTTCATACTCCCACTCCTGCTCTCCTGTCTCCTCTCTCACTTCCAGGATCAGTCAGGAAAATCTGGGCTATGCTGCTCTAACAAACAAGCCGGACAGCTCAGTGGCTTACCCCAGGGAAGTTTATTTCCTGCTCACGCTACAATGCCCCCACTAAGGGTCTGCAGGGGAGTTTTGCTCACTGTGGACACTTGAGGACTTGGGCTGAAGAAGGCTTCGTCTTGACACGTGCTTCTCATTACTATCTTGGCTGGAGGAGAGAAGGCAGCAAACCATTCACTGGCTCTCGAATCATCCACCTGGAAGTGACACACTGCACTTTTGCTCAGGTATCACTGGCCAAAGCAAGTCATGTGACAACGCCTAATTTTAAATCTCTGTAATCCTGCTGAGTATCTTGAAGGGAGAGAGCCAGGACTATTTGGAGAACAACACTAATGACTCTAGCAGTCTCCTTTCTGTTCACCAAATGTTTGGCTTACTATCTTTCCACAGGCAGAATTTCCTCATTCTTTCCTCAGGGGGGACAATTCTAAGGATTCATCTAGTCACAGTGTGTCAAGCTCACTTTCCAGGTTCTGGGTGATTCGTAGTAGACTCTGTATCAGCTCCAGATGTGACTTTTTTTTTCTAAATGTGAGATATCTTTCCTGTGCACCCTCAAGACGTAAAGTGGGACAGAGACAGGCTAACTGTAGTGGGCACGCCGTTTGGAAAGTGAAGGAATGGGAAGCCACAGTAGATGCCAGTCCACTGAGCAGACAGGTTGAGGACCACCCCCCACCATCCAAAACCCCGATTAGACCCTGATTCTACCCGCTTCGTGTAGCTGCCCTATCCATTGCTTTCCATGACCTCTGGCTCTGCTCTCTGAGAAAGTCTTCCTTTTCTATATCTGAAGATGGCGTGAGGAAATATGTTTTAAAATAAGCTTTTATAAAAATTGGGGGAGGTGCAGAGTGATACTAAGTCTTGAATATGGTCTCCTTTAATCCCAGGCTGATGTGCTTTTGGCTGGACAGCTCTCACAAAAATGTAGGCTTCTTATCTGTTTGATTCCAGGCGTTCCATGAGCTCATAGCCACAGCCAATTCTTTCCCAGACATACTTCCACGTTTTGCTGTATTTCTTTGCTTTCTTGTTCTCTTGCCTGCTGGTATCTCTCCCTCTCTCATTCATTGTCCCTCCCTTCTTCTCTCTCTTCTGACTTGGTTTTGTGCACTGTGGGTTTTCTGGGCTTTGGTGGGAGAGTGATACTTCTCCTCCCTTTTCCAAAGCCATTCTGTCCAATTGCAAGCGTATGCTGGGTAATATCTTAATTTATCCAGAAGTTATAACAATAGGTTTGAGGCCATACCCTTGACTTGATACATACTTCAAGGTTGATTTTAATTGGCCTTTTTTTTTTTTTGCTGAAAACATATCATAGTTTTATATTTTACTAGTTGAGACTGAGAAACAGTAGCCTCTTCTAACCCTACAAATCTCTGAATTTATAGATTGTCCCTACTTTAATTTCTGCTTACAAACTGGGCAAATCTTCTCTGAGCTCATCTCTTTTTTGTAATAAGTTTCCAAATGTATCTAACAGCCATCAACACAGGCTACTAACATTTTGTTTTACAATCTCTTGCTTTTTAGTTCATTGGGTTCATGATATGCCTTCTGCATTATCACAGGTGATATATTCACCAAATAAATCACCATCTTTTTATCTTCTATAAGTGTTCTTAGTTATTGCCTTCTAAATGAATGTTTGCTTTTATTTGTTGTTGTTATTACATTACCGTGTATCTAGGTTCTAATTTTTGTATCAGTCAGGATGGGCTAGGTTTGCCACCATGTTGAACAATTCTAAAATCTCAGTGGCTTGGAACGCCTGGGTGGCTCAGTCAGTTAAGCCTCCAGCTCTTGATTTCGCCTCAAGTCATGATCTCAGGGTTGTGAGATCAAGCCCCTGTGAGACTGAGCCCCGTGTTGAGCCTGGT